TATCCTTTACAAGATCTTCCTATTCCAACTTTGTGTTGTATCTAGTTTCCTGCACGCAAACACTTTTGACGTTTTTTTGTCTGAAACCACTACACCTGAAGAAAATCAGTTCTCCATAGAAAAGTAACTGTCATTGTGTTAGCATTGAGAAAGCATAGTGGGTTGGAGATGGTTATCCAAGTGAGCAGTATCAGCTCAAAGAGGAAAGTAGTCACGAAGGTTCACTTCATTAAATGTCTCTGAATGTAGGGAATTGTATTTCGCAGTGAAAGAGCTGAATTGTCTGGGAACTGGCAGGACTGTAGTAATAAGCAGATGTTGACTGTTGAGGTAAGGCACCAGATAAAGAGGGTTCTGTACCCGAGCTGGAGCAGCAGCCCTGCAGATTCTGAAAGCAAAGCTGGTTTTGTTGTGAGCATGTTGGCATGCTAATGTCCACAGTGTAGGTGGCAGAATCAGAATCTGCGAAGCAAAGCTTGTAGCTGGGGAATATACAAAAAACTACGTAATCTACTACTACTACAAAAGGCTACTTAATTTGCAGTCTTTGTAAACAGAGGGGGAAAATATAACAGCATATATCTTTTTTTGCTTTCTCATCCTTGTATTTTTAAATGGATTCCTACAACAACCACGTGTCCCCATGCCATTAGAATGCCCCTAGAATGTCATCTCCACTCCATTCACTCATTTGCCAAATTTAAACATGCAGATTATGCTTTTCAGAGACCAGCTACTCTTCATTTAAAAGTAGCTACCTGCTAACGGTTTCACACTGAAGCCAAAGGGATATTCTTTAGCAGTTTGACTAAAAATTATTCCCAGCTTGATACTCAATGAGAAAGGGCCAGCCCTGCTAAGTACTGTACATCTTCCACTTCTGCTTAGATTAGTGAAAGCTGAAGGCAACAGAATATTAGGGGCTGGAGGGTTCTTTTCTGTTTGTAAAGAAAAACAAATGTTGTGATACTTACACAGACTGATCATTTTCTAGAAACGTTGCAGCTGTTACTGTGCAGATGAGTTAGCTGAATACTGGCTGTATTTAAGAAAGTAGTTTATTTAAAGCTGAAGTGTTGATTGTACAAATAGTTTTGTATGTAAAGTTAAGTACGTTTTATTTTATATTTAACTGCACTTTTTTGTCAAGTTGATTAGACTACTAATGTGCTTGATTTAACAAGGTGTCCCGGGCTCTGGCACAAGTGCAAGTCACTAAGAAACGTACTTCAGTTCTTTGGATCCAGGTCCTGCATAGAAGACAGTCATGCAGCAACACATCTGTTTGCCAGACACAGGACCATGCTCAGTAAATAGGAGTCTGTTTAATGCTCCTGAACAAGCCTGGGAGTCAGTTCTAAAGAGTCTCTGCAGCCCTTGAAAAGTCTTCCTGTGAAGAACTTTTGTTACCAAAAAGAGCCCTATTTGAGGGGAAGTAAATACTAATATTGAATATTATTTTACATTATTTCAGCAGACACAGAGACATTCAGGTTGGAAGGGACCTCCAGAGATCACCTAGTTTAATCTTCTGCTCAGAGCAGGGTTGCCATTAAATTCAGGTTGCTCAGGGCTTTGTCCGGTCGGGTCTTGAATACCTCTGAGGAGGGAGATTCCACAATCTCTCTCAGTGATCCTCCTGAGCAGGGGACCCTGTCACTGCCCTCAGGGTGAAAACTTTTGTCCTTATAGCTACTCTGAACCTCCCCTCTTTCAGTTTATGACCGCTACCTCTCCTCCCACCGTGCATCTCAGCAGAGAGCCCAGCACTGTGTTCTCACTAACTTCCTTGTCAGTACTGGCAGGCTGCTATTGGGACCCCCAGCCTCTCCTCACAGGGCAAGTGATCTAGCCCCTGACCATCTCGGTGGCTTCCACTGAACTCGCTCCAGTTTATCAATATTTTTCTTGTACTGGGGAGCCCCAAACTGGACACTGTGTTCTAGATGCAGGCAAACAAGTGCCAAGCAAAGGCAAATAATCACTTGCCTCATCTATTGTCTATGTTTCTGCTGATACAGCCCAGGATGCAATTAGTCTTCATCACGGCCAGGGTGCACTCTTAGCTCATGTTTTGCTTTCTCCACTGTCCACCAGAATCCCCAGATCTTTTTCAGCAGAGACACTACCAGTCAGTAAGTCTCCATTCAGTATTGTCTCAGATGAAGGACTTGGCGTTTTCCCTTGCTGAATTTCCTGAGGCTCCTAATGAGCCATTCCTCCAGCCTGTCTAGGTCCCTTTCAGGGCAGCCCTGCCCACACGCATATCAATTTGATGACACCAGGTCAGTTCATCTGCACTTACTAAGACTAGATTTAAAAAACTGATTAAAAGAATAGGTTCTGCCTTAGTTACATAATATGAAGTAATAAAATATAATAGAATAAACTCACTTTCTAAACAACTTAAATGACTGTACAATCAGATGAAAACCAGGCTTGCAGGTTTTATGATAGCTTTACAAAACTTAATTGCTGAGGTTTGCTGCCCTCTATAGACTATTTTTATTATAGTTCCAAGGAAAGTATTTTCTTGTGCAAAATATTGCTTCAGTGCATTAATAATATTTAAGGAAAGATCTATTATTGTTAATTCATATTAAGAACATAATGTAAAATGAACAAATACATAGTTATATTGTATTGTTGGAAAATGTGAGTTTGAATAGGAAGTGAATGCAAAATTCTGCATTGCATTTGAGAAAGCATCAGTAGTAAATAAACTAATTCAATATAAGCTTTGAGGAAGGAAAGACATGAAATATGAGCCAGTAACCATAGAAATGGTGCAAAATTATACAAGGAACCTAAATGTAACCTCTGTGTAAACTCATTTCTCAACTAGAATAAACAAATCCTGGAGCGTGTAGTGTAAATGGGGGAGTGGATGTATCTTCCCAGGCACTGGCTCTTACCCCCTTCTACCACTTCATTCATTTATGGGGGTTTGCCTTCACATTAAGGCCAGTGGAGGCATTCCATAAGAAATACCCATACTTTGTTTATTTCTGCAAGCAAATTTGAACTAAAGTCTGAGTAATCTGGATATTGTCAGAATTAGGTTTTCTTACATAATTATAGAATCGTTCTCATGAAGTCTTGTGATTTTGCTGATTCAAATAGTCTATGTAAGATGAGAAACATACTCCTCTATCACAGCTTGTCAGCTTCTGCTCTGTGTAGAAGCAATTTGCAGAAGTGACTAAGAAAAGAAACTCAGTGTATGCTATCAGCATATCAGCAATCAGCATATGTGAAATTTGTAAAAGGATTTGCACCTTGTGTGAAAACTTGTAAGGCTCTACCAATGGAAACAACTGAAATCACAGCTTTAAACATAACAGTTTCTCTGTCAGCATTAAGCACTTGATGGTTTATTTTAGAGAATGTCTGGAAAAAGTGATGGGAGGTTCCTGCAGAAGGAAAAGGTGAACAGAAAGGAAAGAAGGAGAGGAACAGATCCTGCAGAAATGGGAGAAGGATCCTGTCTGAAAAGCAGGCTAGAGAAGAAGAGAGTAGGAAAAAAATGGTGATTATAGTAAATGACACAAAGAATGAGATTATAAAGTACCCGATGAGTACCTGAAGCTGCAAGCTCGCTACGCTGAATTGGTAAAACACAACGACAGTCAATAACATTATGAGATTATGTTAAAAGTTACTGAGTTTATTCTACAGTTTAAAACTGATGTATTGTCAATTCCCCCTTGTGTAAGTAAATCTACCTTTACGGGCTCACCCCCACCAGGGCAGGGATGATGCTGCGAGTTTGGACAAACGGTGTGCTGATGAAATGCCAGCACCCGAAACGACTTCTTTTACTTGTTTAAATGGGGAAAAGATGTGGAGAATAGCAACACAGCCACAACAGAAGGCCAAGGCGTAAGTGAGAACATGCAAAACGGGAGCCTGTGAAGCACCGAGCAGGGGTTTCATGCGCTGCCCGGGGTAGCAGCGGGAG